CACCTCCACCACCTCTCCCGGGGCCACGGTCAGTTCCTTTGGGTTCCTAGCTTCAAACTCGAATAAGACTTGCATTCTCAGGGCTGGCTGCACGGGCCTTGGGGTGAAGGGCACAAGGTTAGGGGCCCCGCAGGGAGGGCCATGGTGTGTGTCTCCACTTGAACCAAGTAGGGGGTGCTCCCCGACCTGATACTCCCCCTCCCCACCGAGGGTGCTGGAGCCAGGACCGGGGAAATGGAGCCCCTGGCCCAGCCCCGGAGCCCAGCTGTCTCCCACCCGAGCCAGGAGGCCACTGTTGGGTTTCCACAGGGCTGAATGACAGGGCAGTGTTAGTGGGGCTTGGGGGGCGTTGTCTGCAGGCAGCAGGGTCTGGGATGTGGCTGATCTCTGAGGACTCAGTTGGGGACTTCTCTCCCACAGGTCCACAGGGTCAGCCCCTTCTCACCCTCCCTTAACCGTCCGGCCCTGCCTAAGCCCGGGCTCACCGGAGGGAAGCAGGGTCCTGGTATCCTGAGGGTGCCTGTGGGGGCAGGACAGAGTGGGCGAGGGCAGAGTGAGGGAGGGCAGCATGGAGGCAGGGAGCTGGCCACAGAGCCACTCCCACACAGCCGCCTCACGGCCCCTCCCCTGCCTGACACCTACATGTGGGTTCTCGGTCGCCATGTGACCATGGCATGGACTGAGAAGGCAGAAACTAGCCAGAGGCAGGGCTTTGAGTAGGGCTCCGTGCTAAGCTCCCCTTACCTGGTTGGAAGGTTCTGGAGGCTGCCAGCCATCATAGAACGTAGGTTGGTAGGGTGGGACCTCATGGCCTGTCCAGTTGTCCCTGGGGAGAGAACCAAGCTGAGTCCACTCCGCTCCAGGCCGTGGGACGGAGGAGGAGACGGAACCGAGCCTCGGGGCCTCCTAGGGCAGGGGTGGGGAACCTTCTTGCTGCCCAGGGCCATTTGGGCATTTACAGCATCATTCGAGAGCCACACACAGTTATCAACTTAAAAACCAGCCTGCGGTATCCGGCCCAACATTTAATTAACTCGCCTCTCATGCCTCAGCAGGGCCAGACGAAACGATTTTGTGCGCCTTAGATGGCCCGAGGGCCGGACGTTCCCCACCCCTGACCATGCCCACGCACACAGCCGAAAGGCCCCAGAACACCCGCGAAGGGGCAAGCGCTGGGCGCGAGCAGATCCCACAGAGCAGGGATCTGTGGCCAGCTTCGCCTCTGCCCACGGAGTTCAGAATATCAGCTCCAGGAGAACACACAGGGCACTCGATCACACCGACTGGGGGTCAGACCTCAGGTGGGGGCAGGGCAGTGTGGATTTTTCCTCCTGCACTGTCACTGCACTTGGCCGCCTGGGTTCCCTCTTCTCACATGTGCTGCACGTGACTCCCACCTGTCCCCGGAGCTGCTGTCCCCAGGACAGTGGAGGGTATATAGGCGGCAGCTAAGAATATGTGTTCAATGGGAACAAATAAATTGTTTATTTTCTGAATCTTTTAAAGCGGTCCCTTCCCTTCTCTTTGCCTTAAAAGCATGCTCAGGCCTTCCCTTGACTGTGGTACTACTGCTTTTAATCTGTTATTCTAGTCCCTTCTTTGTACCAACTTTTTTGAGAATGTGTCTATCTGCCCTTCCTACATTTCATTATTCCTTGCAACCCGGTCCTTACCTCCGCCATTACTCTATTGCTACCAGTTTTTCTAAAGTCCCCAAATCTCCTGATTGCCAAGTCCACTGGCTTCATATGGCCCATGTCCTTCCAAACCACAGCATTTAGCATTGTTTACAGCTTGGGGTCAATTTGCGTAAAATCAAGCCACCTAAATATAACTTGCCTGAAATTCAACCCTTTTGAGGGTTTTTACACCCTCTTTAGACAATTTTCTGTATTTTTTGTCTTCCAACTCACTTATTCACTAACTTCTTGTTATTGTAAGAAATCAGAAAACATTCCAGGGCATATCTGACCTAGTTTTGTATTTAAAATGATACACAGAGCCAGAATGTAGGAGGAGCTCCCGGGGGCTGGGGAGAGGGAGGCATCGGGACAGAGTTGTGTTACTTGCTGGATGGGTACAGAGTTTCTGTTTGGGACCCGGAAAAAGCTCTAGAAATGGATAGTGGTGATGGTTGCCCAACATTGTTAAGTATTTAGCGCCACTGAATTATACTCTTGAAAACATTAAAATGGTAAATCGCATCTTATGTACATTCTGTCGCAGCTAAATAGATAGACTACATTGAACTATACTTGATGTCGTGGGGTGAGTTGGACAACCACCCCCTAATGGGGCTGAGTTGAAAAGAACTCACTAGGCAAGATGCCGGAGCAAGTGGCTTACTTCCTGGTGGTTTCTCGTTCTAAAACCCTCTTCTCTCTTGGTTTTTATGCCTCTGCTTTTTTTGTTTGTTCTTTCAACTCTCCGGAATATCTTTTTGTCTCCTTAATCCTCTTTCCTTTCTCCACTTACATACAGAAGTTCCCCTTCTCTCTCTGGGACAGAGCGACCTTCCTCACTAAGGTGAGTTCCAGGGCTGCCTGTGGAGGGCTCGCCTCTAGGTGGCGCTGTCATTTCTGTGCTGACTGTTCTCACACCCTCATAGCCAGGTGGGACCTCTCACTTGAGGGCCAGGGGCCCCCCTGCCTCTGTGGGATGGTCACTGATACCCCAGCCCAGCACATCCAGGCTGCATTTACCCCCCACTCCCCACGGCTCTCATCGGTTTGGCCTTGTTGTCCAACTGCCCATCTCAGGGTTACACGGATGAGGCACCTCATGTTTGATCTTAACTCCTCGGCCAGTTGGTTGCCAAGTCTTACAGATGTTACACTTGCAGCAACTCTTATGTCAGTAATTCTGAAGTTCTGGGCCCGACTGAGACACGTTTTCACCTTGTTCTTGACAAAAGTGAGAAAGTGTTTTGGTAGAAGGTTGCCAACTCTACATTCCTGGGAGAATTGTTCTTTTTTCCTGAGATAATGCCTTTCCTTCCGAGGCGGGTGATGGCAGGGGATGGTTTAAATAGAAGCGTTTCAGCCCTGGCGGCGGGGCTCAGTGGTTGAGCGTTGACCCATGAACCGGAGGTCACAGCTTAATTCCTGGTCAGGGCATATGCCCGGGTGTGGGCTCGATCCCCAGTAGGGGGCGTGTAGGAGGCAGCCGATCCATGATTCTCTCTCATCTTTGATGGCTCCTATCCCTCTCTCCCTCTCCCTTCCTCTCTGAAATATATATAAATACATTGTTCGTACTTGGTGTAACATAGAGTTGGGAGCTCCATGCGGAGCCACCGCTTTGTTTTGAGATGTCTCTGGTCTGTGACAGTGTAGAGCTCGCCACACCCCATGCCCTGCCCTATGCCCCACACCCAGCCTCATCTTCCCTCACCGGCTGGTGGTCCAGGCCGGGCCCAGGCTCTTCCAGAGGTTACTGTCAGGCGGGCTTAGGTAGAACTTGAGCATGTCGATGGCTTCGGGGGTGAGGAGGGGTGAGATCACTTGGCCTGCGAGGTCACGCTCAGGGCACTGCGTCAGGACCTAGAGGGAGGAGGGTGACGTCAGGAAGCCAGGCTCCCGCAGGCCCAGCTGGAGGGGGCAGGGCCGGAGTCTTCTGTAGCCTCTGCGGGTGCCCAAGGCCTCAGGCCTGCTGCTCCTTCCGGCCCTCAGAGCTCCCGCTGTCCTTGGCTCCACCCCCAGCCCCTCTGGTCTGCCCAAGGCGCTGTACACAGTGGGGTGGTGTGTTGGGGTCGAGGAAAATGTGTGGGGGTGAGTGAGGGGCAGATCCCACAGCCTCCCTCGACCCTCTGCCCGCCACCCTGGCCTCTGCTTGGTCTACGCTGCAGCTTGTACTTCTTCGCCACCCTGACCTCCCCCAACTCACCAAGTGCAGAGTCCGGAAGAGCCTGTGCAGCAGCTCGGGGGCAGTGGTATTCTGCAGATGGTTGGCCAGCCTCTCCTGGGGACACAGGGTACCATCACCACCCTCCATCCACCCCACCTGCGCCGGGACCCCAGGGCCCATGCGTGTCCCGGGCCTTGGTTGGGAGCCTGGGACACCCCAAGGTTCTGAGAGCGGGGAGGGGAGGTTCCAGGGGAGAAGCCTGGGACACGTGTGAGGCCCCAGAACGGGGGTGCTGGGGGCAGTGGTGTGAGGGAGGGCTGGGAACTTGTGGGAGCCACATACCAGGAGGATGAAGCTGTACTTGAACTTCTGGAAGCAATCGACGTACTGCGCCGGTGTCCTCCCTGTGGGGGAGGGGTGGGGAGAAGGCGTGGGTCACAGGGTATCCCGGGGCACCACCCCTCTCCCCTGGCCCTCAGCACTCACCCCCCGGGCCCGTGTTCTTTTTCTTCCCCTGTTTCTTCTTCTTCTTCGTACTGGCGTTGACCTGGGTCTTCATCAGCGGTTGCACGAACACCTCGATGTCCCTCAGGATGTGGTTCAGCACCTCCTGGACACAAAGAGCTTGGGCCTTGGGCGGGCAATCAGGGCCCCCTGGGACCCCCAACCTGCCCCAGCCCCCCGCACACCCCATCCCTCCTCAGCCCCAGGCCTGCCTTGGCCCCCCTGGAACCTGGTTTCGGGGGGAAGGGTTGGTGTCCCCCTTTGCCAGGCTCAGGAGCTCGGCAGGCCCAGACTGTCTGCGGTTACCTGGTCCCTCACTGGGTCCTCGGGGGTCGGGGGGCGCCTTGGAGGAGGCAGAGCGAAGGTGCTTGGTTCTCTGGCACTGGAGTGTCGTGACAGGGGCCGTGGGGATGGTGGCACTCCTACAATGTAAGAGGGCATGGCCTCTGATCTTTAATCTAAACCTCTCCCCCGCCCCGTCCCCGCACCCCACACTTACTGTGCTCCGGGGCCATCCAGGGGGGCTGTTCTGGAGGGGGCCCCCACTCCAGGGGGGCTGCCTGCTCCTTAGGGAGTGGCCTTTCCAGAGGGGCCCCCCTCCATCTGTCCTGGCCGGGGTGAGGGACTCCAAATCGGGGTCTGCCGAGCACACGGTGGGGACACAGGCTTGACAGTGTTTTGGGGACAGAGGCCCTGGCCCCACTTCTCTCCAGGCCTCCCCCTGGAACCTTCCCTGCCTCCCCCCAACTCCCTGCCTCATGTGCCCACCTCTGAGCTCTCTCGGGTCCCTGGTCAGGCTCTAGGGACAGTCTCCAGTGTCTCCTGGGCCAGGCCCCAGCCCATCCAGCCTGGGCCCCAGCTTGGCCCCTCCCAGCTCCAGGCCCCGGTTCCTGGGGCTGCAAGCTCCTGGGCTCTCACCTGGGCTGGAGGGAGCTCTGCGCTCCTGCAGGGGGTGGGGCAGAGGCTGCCTCCAGCTCCTCCTTCAGGGCCTTCTGCAGGCTGGTCCGCAGCCGCTCTGCCTGGAGGAGTAGCAGGTGGGCAGGGGTGTATGTGTGTGTGTGTGTGTGTGTGTGTTTGGGGAGAGTGATGGTTGTTGGGCCCCACACCCACTCTCTTCTTGACCCCACCCCGGCCACTCACCCCCATTTCCGGGCACTGGAAGAGCAGAATGCTGCCGCCCGGCGGGCCCGCCCCCTGCACGGTGATGGACAGGACGGAGTTGTAGGAGCAGGAGTTGAGCACCGCGTCCATGGCCTGGATGCTGTCCAGGCGGTAGGAGTCCAGCTCCTCCTGTGCCAGGTGGAAAGGTGGCTGTGAGGTCACCGAGAGCCTGGGTGGCTCGTGGGGGCTCCTGACCGGGGTCACCCCAGCCCGGCAGTGGCCTGGGACTGGCGTGTCCACTCCCCCGCCCCCTGGCCTCTGTGCCCGGTCTCTTCCTAGGCCTGGGCCCTGCCCATGGGAGGGCGGCTGCTGTCTGGGGCAGGGAGGGTGGAGCCGACGCCCGGGGCTGGCTCTCCCACAGCTGGGCTAGCGATGACCTGCGGCAGGGGCACGGAGGGCTGACCTTGGTCTCGATGTCCAGCAGCTGGAGCCAGCCGTCTCTGACCTGCAGCAGCAGGTTCTGGCTCCACACCCGGCCCTGAGCGTCCAGCTGCTGCAGCCGCTGCACGGCGTCCTTGGGCTCCCAGACGCCCTGCGTGCCCAGCTTACACGTCATCAGGTGCTGAGGGGCGAGGAGGCCAGGGCTGGAGCAGGTTTGGAGAGGGGGCAGAGGGGGCGCACGGGGTAGGGGAAGGGCAGCCGAGGAGCAAGCAGGGCCTCCCCATAGAGCAGCCTTCCAGGGCCACTGAGGCCGAGGGCTGTGCGAGGGGGTTTAGGCCTCCGGAGGGAGGACGTGGCCTTGGGCACGTCCAGGGGGCTGAGGGGGCCGGATGCTGGTCAGTGTGGGCTTCCGCCACCCAACAGATAAAGCGCGGACTCCTCTGGGGGGCTGCAGGGCCCGCTCATTCCGTCCCTGGCTTCCTTTGCTGCTTTGGGAACCCGCTACCCCAGCCTGGGCCTTCTCTCTGACCTGCACTGCTGCCTCTTTGCCTTCGCTCATGCTGGTCCCCACCCCCTTCCCACTGCTCATCCCATGCCTCCCTGCGTCTTGGGAGGAAACCCAGGCCCCCCTCCTCCCAATTCCTGCCCTGCGGGGTACGCAGTGATCTTATCTCCGTGCAGGCCCATCCCCCATCCCGGTGGGTCTGATCATCCCCGGTTTCTGGTTTCCCCTGTTACTCTCTCTCCTGGCGGAGACCCCTCCGCCTCCCGTCCAAACGCAGCCTTCACAGGTCACAGTCCTGCCCTGGGTCCCCTCCAGGGGGCGTGTCATCTGCCTCCTCCCTGGCCCCACTGCCTGCTCTCACCCGCTGGCCCAAGGGAAGCCAGTTCCCAGCCCCCGCCCTGCCAGGAAGCCCAGGACGCTGGTCCCAGCCTCTGTGCCCTGTGGAGCCTCCAGACCATTGCCCATGCCCCTCCCTCCTCCTTCCCAGGGCAGCCCCGCTCTGCTGCTGCCCCGGCTCCTCTCCCCACCACGCCCTCCGGCCTGAGCTGTGTTGGTTGTGTCCACAGCCCTTAGGCAACCGGATGCCACAGGGGCAGTGTCCTCCTCCCAGGCCAGAGCCTCCAAGCGGCTCTGCCCAGGCCCAGGTACCGCCCTTGTGGGACCGCTGACCTCACACATTCCTCCTGGCACCTGTGCCTGATGCGGGGCAAAGAGCAGTTCCCTGGGGCCAGGTGTGGCAGGGGGTGGGGCTGGAGACAGGTGGGGGTGGGA